TTGGAAATTAAAAATGTCAGAAAAGAAATTTATAGGTGCTAGGTCTTTCGGCTGATGTATACCAAATAGAAATCCTCAAATATTATATATCACTAACAATAAAATATAAAATATAAATAATACCTAAAGAGAAGGTTACTCCGGTATGTTTGACCTATTATTTATCTGTTGTCAACACATTCTGATTATTTTTTCATTAACGAATAATAATTACAAGGACTGAAAATAAAAATACATTGTCTCACTCTCAATCTGTGATTTATTAAAAAATAGACTTGTTTTTCCTATGACGTCCGAAATAATGAGTATTTAAGGGTTGGAATGTAATTTTATTTTCAACTTGTAATTACTTTTCGTTACAGTATGACAGTCCATTCGCAGCAATGGTCAGAGTGTTGAAACATACCCAGTACCTATCTACCTACCTACTCTTAACATATACTTTTCTGTGTGGAGCACCCTGTATTTATGTTGCACAAATATCTTTGCATCTTCTATGAAAATACATAATATCAATAGGAACAATTACTTTAACCTACGTATATAAACCATTGAAATTGCCCGAGGACATTTGAATGTAAAAAAATTCTTTTGCCTTTGGGTTAACAAGCCACCGTCAGGACCTTGATGCTGTGCATACAATAATTTGTTAGTGTAAAGGGATTCAACCTGATACTATCAGTATCGCGTTACATTTCTTTCTAAGATAAGCATTAGAAAAGCAGGATTAAAATTACATATGCACCACCTTTTGTCTACTGTTGTACGGTGGATGTACAATTCACCCTCTCTACCCAACCTATGTATATGCCAACGTTATTATCTCCTTCGGAAAATACAGTTACCTCGCAAATATAGTAGCTACCTACTTACTGAATTAAACTTTATTGTAACTGCCAAGTATTATTTGGTGAACGAATGAGAAGTTGGGGCTTTGTACCTAAATTACGTATGATGTAATTAGTACTTGGATTTTAAAGTTAATGAAATTGGCGCTTCAAAGGATAAAGCACACACTTTGAGTAAGGGTTTTGGGCTTAGGGTTTGCCCGAGTCTGAATATTAATATGTTGCGATACCTAAGTAGATAATATATTAATATTTCTTTGCAAATACGTATAGACATATTTATGATATTTCTCACATGTTATTATGAACGAAATAGGATAGGGTACATGTGTGTGTATTAACTATATCGTGTACGTACCTAAACGATGACAATTGCAGAACAGATGTAAATGGGGAGGTATTGTAGAGTAAATAAGTGCAATAACATTTATCTACTTATAAGAAGATCGCTCTTAAAATTTGGTGCATAGAAAATCGTGGGTAGGTAGGTACCTATAAAAAAAAATGCTTAAAACTGATTGTTTCTCTTCTACCTGATCGAAGATGAATAAGGAGTAAAAGGGTAGGTAGGCAATAGCTTGGGGACAGAGCATCTTACCCCTCTTTTCAACTTATACATATGCGTAGTTTTGAGCCGGAATGTCATCACTCATCCTCAATCATTGTGCTACCGAAACCCCTGCAACATCTCCGTGTGCCATTTTTCTTAAACAAATTTACTCCCATTGTATTCATCACCGTTCTGTTTCCAGGATCAAAATTTACATATTTTATGTATACATATGTATACTTTCGCACTAGGTATATATATATATATGTAGCTATCGGTACGATTTACAATTCAGACATTCTTAGTCCAATATTGCAGTCAGATAAAAATAACACCAAGTTGAGAGTTTTAATTAATTAAATTTGGAGGAGATTTCAATGCTGCAGAGATACGAATATTACACACTAAAAAAATTTTCAAAAAAATTGAATTTTGTGCAATTCTTAACCATCACGAACCTCTAATTCTTAGAAAGTAGAAGTCAACCACCTACTCGAGTATTATTTCCTAATAAGGAGTAGATAAATGCAATGTCTCACGCCGGAGGGATTGTTGCGTTTTCGTCCTTGAAATCGGGGAAAAACCTGGAGGTAGTAATTAACCGTCTTATCTGAGACAGATAGATAATGTTTAAGTATTTTCGTGTGTAGAATTCACAAGGCCCTTCTGTGCCACATGCCGGCCAGTGGTGTACTTTTTAATGGAACTGGGGTGGTTGGTGGGGGCGCGAGGAACAAAAAGTGTAGTAGTTTTAATTGCATGTGACGAAAAGATGTAATTAATAGGTTGCAATTTGGTTTCCAGAGCAAACACTTCGCAAGCCGGAGGCATCCTCACATCACAGCTCAAAGCAGCCAATGGTTTGGTGAGTGGGGCAGGACTGGAACTGTCAACTCCGCCTCTGAGTAGCGCCTCTGGAAGTAACGGCGGCGGCGGCGGCCAGCTATGTTCACAAGACATTCAGGGACTGTTTGTTAACCAACACGTCGGATACGCTTCTACCGTGACGTCCTCAGGTGGCGGTGGCAACCTGCAGATAGTTAAGCGCGAACCTGAAGATCTCAGTCACCACCGCAAAAGTAGCTCCGTCTCGCCGGGACTCGACGGTGGATCCATAATCGTGAGCAAACCCAGACATAAGGTGAATTAAAGTTAAATGGTCATTTTTCTTCTCTAATCGAAATCGATGGTTCTTTGAGAACGTATAAGCACTCGCAGAAGTTTATCTGTTACTCGAGTAATATTTTTCTCGATTTTATTCTGAAATGAAAATGTAAACTACTTAGCCATTTCAGAATTTCAGTATCTGTAAATACGGCCGGAGAATATATTATTAATTTGGTCTGGCTTTTTTGTGTTGTCACTGAAAGGGCAGCACTGAACCAAACATATTTACATACTTGTTTTCAAACTTTTATCAAACTTCTACAATACAGTGAAATCATATAACAAAACAGGAAACCTATGAATCTATTACAGGTAGTATTGGTATCATCTGCAACTACCGAACCAGGCAGTCTGGTGGTGGACGTAAATTCGATAAAAGATGAAAGTCGATTGAATTCACCTCAACACGGTTCCCGTTCGGTAAACGGAACCCCCACATCGACTCATAGCAGTTTGCTCGCAGACGGTTCGAATAATGGTCCTGTAGAATTCGTTTCGTCGGATGGCATCAAGCAAGCAATGTACGGAACTCAAATTTTCACATCGATAAGCGGTGGCCATGGCGAAAGTAGTTCGCCGTCCCCAGGACCCTATGGAGATAACGGTGTGTCGTATTCGACCCACGGCACCTCGGCTACTTACTCCAGTCGCACGGTACCATCGGCAACTCTCTCGGCGGATCCTTATTATCGGGAATACTTTACAACAGTCACGTCCGCTGCCGGTACTTCTGAACCCATTTACTCAACACAGCTACGACAAGGCCAAATTAGCACTTACGGAGAAGAAGCATCCGGCAGCAGTTCTACAAACAGTTTCGTTGAGCGATACGTTCGTCAATCTAGTGCCTATCACAGTAAAGGTGTCATAGCTGCTGCAACTGCTGCAGGACTTACGGTCGACTTGCCCAGCCCCGATAGTGGTATCGGTACCGATGCCATTACACCCAGAGATCAAAATACAATACAACAGGTAACTTCCCCTTCATTCTTCCCAAGTATCCCAGAAATATTCCAACTTGACTTTTCATTCGTTTTGTTTCAGTCTTTCGACTACCCAGAACTGTGCCAAACTAATTCCTCGAGCCTCTTAGATCCCTTATCTCTAAGTCAGAGATGTGTAGTGACAACTGCTCAATCTCCAGTATCTCAACAAAGCAGTCGGAGTCGTCCATGGCATGATTTCGGTCGCCAAAACGACGCTGACAAAATTCAAATCCCAAAAATGTAAGTTTCCCTCGTAATTTGGAATACTGGTAACACATTCTGTTATTTGTTATATGAAAACTGAAGAGCATTTTTCCGACTTTACAGATTCTCTCCTTATGGTTTTAAGTATTTCTTAGAAACGCCTATTTCAACGTCTCAAAGGCGCGAAGACGACAGAATAACTTACATAAATAAGGGCCAGTTTTATGGAATAACACTAGAATACATTCCGGAGCCTGATAAGCAATTAAAATTGCAAACAGTCAAAGTAAGCAACACCATTAAATTAAATTAAACGAAGTAATTAATAAGTATTACCATTACCGAGTCTTTAAAATTTTTACGAAAAAATGCACGTCTTGTGACTGATGTATTACTACTACTTGAATTAAAAGAGGAAAATTTAAAAAAGAATTGTTACTTTCAGAGTATTGTTATGCTGATGTTCAGGGAAGAAAAGAGCCCTGAGGATGAGATCAAGGCGTGGCAATTTTGGCATGGACGGCAGCATTCCATTAAACAACGAATTCTAGATGCAGGTGAATTATTTATTGATGTTAAATAAATTTTATTGTATTCTGTTATTTCCTTGTTTATTTTCTATAACTGGGTATCACTAATGTTGCTAATATTACAAATATTCTGACGTATTTATTTTATGTTACGCTGCATAGAAATTGGATGAAGGTAATCCAAAACTTACGATTAATAAAAAATTAATAGCAATTTATTGTAAGATTATTTTGTTTAACGTTTGTTTTATTTTTGTAGATACCAAAAATAGTGTGGGTCTTGTTAGCGGTATTGAAGAAGTCGCCCACAATGCCATAGCTGTCTATTGGAATCCCTTAGAGAGTCCTGCAAAGGTATTTTATATTTTATTTGAATATATCTTTGTAAAAATGCTAACTTCTAATGTTTTTTTTTTCAGATAAACGTTGCTGTACAGTGTCTAAGTACTGACTTTAGCAGCCAAAAAGGTGTAAAAGGTCTACCTTTACATTTACAAATTGACACATACGAAGATCCTAGGGAACCGACTGTTAGTCATCGAGGCTACTGTCAAATAAAAGTCTTCTGTGATAAAGTAATTAATGCTGTTTAATTTGTTGGTATTTTTTGTATTGAAACGTGTTTTTATAGGGGGCGGAACGTAAGACAAGGGACGAGGAGAGGAGGGCAGCAAAACGTAAGATGACTGCAACTGGTAGGAAAAAATTGGATGAATTGTATCATCCAGTTTGTGACCGTTCCGAATTTTATTCTATGAGTGATCTAACAAAACCTCCTGTTTTATTTACACCTGCAGAAGATATAGATAAGGTACAGTTATTTTCATAGCTTTATCTATCAATAACATTTTATCAGTCAAATTGTTTTCTTTGTTATGTTTAGCTAACGTCGATGGAACTTCAAGGGTTTTATGCTCATGATACAGATAGTTCCCTAAGTGGTCCTACAGATCATATCAAATCAGGATCTCCCTTCCTTTTGCACACTGCAACGAAACCTCCGTCAACACCAACGTTAAAATTCCACAATCATTTCCCTCCTGACTCAGATAAAAAGGATAGTCTTTTAGATGGCAGCCTTAATACTGATGGAAATCTATTCTCTCCACCCCCTAAACGTGCCAAAATATTAAGTAGCGGACCTAGTAGTACAGGACCTCCACCCCTTAACGAACGAGTTATGCTGTATGTTCGTCAAGATTCTGAAGATATTTACACGCCACTGCATGTGGTCCCGCCATCAACTCAGGGCCTTTTAAATGCAGTAAGTATATTATAATAACGCTTTTAGCTTCTGCTTAACATGCATGGAGTTTGGACGTACTGGGCTTTTTATACATTATTCCATTTCGTCAAATAACAAATTAACTAGCATGTTGAGTAGACCTATTGCTCATTCGGTTTCTTAAAAAATTCGAAATATATTTCATCCTATTCATATTTTCAAATACGTTTGGAAAGTTTATTTTTGCGTTAACTACCTAATAAGTTGCACATTTATGTATTTTCGTCTTATTACTTGAACGAAATAGGCCTACTGCAGACATAATTAAAAGATCAGTTCACTTTTACTAGCTCCACAGTACGTTTAATAATAATATTAAAAGCTCAGTACTTGTTCAAAATCTTCATAAAAATTAAGAAAGACAGAAAATATGTTTGATTCTGAAATTAATTCTGTTTTCCTTATTTTGCAGATTGAGAATAAGTACAAAATTTCTGCTTCAAGCATAAATAACTTGTATCGCAAAAACAAAAAAGGGTAAGTTAATAAAAGTATTGGAGTAGTTAAGGAAGTGAACTGCATTTATTGCTAGCAAATAGTAGTTTATAACTAACTATACATTTCATTAGCATTTATTTTATTGCATGTACTACCTTTATTTCGTTTCATTTAGCCTCTATTAACTTTTACCTTTTGCCTTTCTTGCTTATTTAAAGATGTTGATGCTATTTTTAAGTCATTATCATTAATCACTAAAATCAAGGGATCCATATAAATATTTCATCGCTTGAATTAATTTCCATAATGAACGTTTTTTCTTTTTTTTTTTATAATAAAACATGTACTATTCGAATAGTACTGTGCCCTATAATAAAAAATTGGCACATTTGATGGAACACGTTGAATTTCTTTTATTTTGTTGTATATGCTTATTTAATTAAAATTCTAAAGATTACGATAAACAATTTTATTAATAAGAAATTTGTGTACTTAGGATTACAGCCAGAATTGATGATGATATGGTGGCTTATTATTGCAATGAAGACTTGTTTTTGTTAGAGCTGAAGGCCGTAGATGACAATTTGTTTGATATTACGTTCGTAGAACTAAATGATCATTAATTTGACCGTTTACAACGATATTATGTTTACGTACTCATTTCATACTTGTTGTGATTGTTTTTAAGCTGACTAGTGTTAAGAAAAAATTGTAATTGTAGATTTTTATATCCTATTTATAGTTTTTAAAGATGTTATGTTTTTTAGAGCCATTTTGGTCACCTTTAAAGTTACTCGGTCAATGTTATACTTTAATATTATTTTGCTAGGTATCTATCTATCTATCTATCTATCTATATAAATATGTATTGTATACATATACATTGTTAAAGTATATGTTAAAAAGTACCTTCGATGTCCCACACCTTGCCGGCAATTTTTTATTTAATGTAATTACATAAGAAAATTCCAATGAATAGTTTGTAATTTTTTCACTTTGCTCATAAACTGATAATCACAATCAGCAGCGTAACCGTAATGCTGAAATGGTCACCAATGATCTCAAAATTTTGTTTAAACGCGATTTAAACAGAAACTGGAATGTACAGAAAAGAAAACCTTATTTTACGAATATAAGGGAGGGGTGAAATGGGTCGACACATACTGTAAATATAAAGACAATAGAAGTGTTTGTTAAGCAATTAATGTATATATACCTAGGTGATTTTCATGTCAGATGTAATTAAAAATTAATGTTGTCAGATACAATTATGTATGGCTGTTATCAGCTTATACAGTCAAAAGTACTTCTCTCCAAACGTTCAAATCATTTTGGCAGCAGGATCATTCATTCGTTTATTAAAATCAAGATACAGTAATATTCGTTAAATTAAACTTACTAAACGATGTTAAAAAAAAAAAAAACTTCTGATACGCTATTATCGTTGAAAAGTGTTTAAGGTATTATGTATACTTTTATGTTTTCTGGTTGCTTTACTTTGTTGTAAATTATTGTGAACAGCCGATCAAAAAGTATGTAATGATTCTATAATTTTTTTCAGCGTTGCATAACCCTGTTGAACAAGAGTAATACAAGAACATAACGAAATTTGTACCTGACTTACGCTTTACGTTTTATTTTTCACAAGGGAATTTTCAGTGTCATTCTAATTAGCCATATTTTCAATTTTTTTTAGAGTGAACGGCAATTCCAGAATCTTATATTAATTAATTAGAAAAGAATTTTCTTTTCTTGTTATGAACACTTTTGTAATTAGAAAGACAACTGTTGGTTTAATCTGAAATTACTTTGTGTTATATGTGCGAATGCTGCAACTTATTTTGATGGAAACATTTTTAGCTTAAGTATTTTTATATGAAGTATAAAATAGCTCTCTAATATCTAATGGTTAGATATGTTTACATCTACCTGCATATGTATTTTGTGCCTTTGTACGCGACTTTTCGTTGAATCTTTGCCAATAATTTTAATGATAATAATCGCAATACTATTTAAGAAACTTCTGTAGCTATCTTAAGATCGAATAAACTTTTATATTATATGAAAATGTTATGTTTTCGAATGAAATGTTCTTCCTAAAGCGTCACACTACTTTATTAAAAAAGCAATTGTCACAACTCTTCTTATTCTAAATATCACAGAAATAGGGAAGAAAATAGGAACATCGGTTTATTGATTATATATGATTATTTATAACGAGCTTGCATGTGAGGATGGAGGTCACCAGTTTTTCAAAGACGTCTTTCCATCTGCAAGTTCCGTCATATCCAACAGTTTCACTTTAATGTATAGGTTTCTTCTTATAAGAGCAAATGATGAAATTCAGAAAATTTAATTTTTTATTACTATTTCAAAGTACTTATCTTGCCTTAAATATAAAATATTTCTTCGTTTGTACCAATTTAAAAGTCGTAGCTATCTGAAACATACTTGTTCAAAATAACAGAAAGATATAATAAGGATGTGTTTTGCATATGTTTAGACATTAGGAAAGGATACGTAGGAATGTTCATATAGAAACATCTAAAACACATCAAATCCCAATTAATTCAAAAGATGTTTTAGACATATTGTGAGGGTTGTTGGTAATCATGTTCCTCTTTCCTAAAACATTCTAATGGTGTGATAAATAACCATAAGAAAATATACATATAATGTGACCTAATCCACTAATAAATAAATATTAATTATTTATAAATGTATCTATAAAAAAGAAAATGAGAATCGTTCGTTTTCAGAAACGTAAAACATTTCTGATATAAAATGCCTATAAATAGTCACGTTCTCCCTTACATTTCGATAACCGAAAATGCCGAAACAAAATATAATGGTAAGTCTCAATTTTCACTGTGGGAACTTGTAGTATTTCGATTACGTATGTACAAATATTAATATTGTAGGTAATTAAGTTGATGGGACAGTATTATCTCTATTGGAAATATTGTAGACCTGTATCCTTCAGGAAAAGTGTATAAAAGCGAGGGGACTGTTGTCCAAAATATGCAATAACCCTTAACGAATCGAGACTTGGAACAACAGAACCACGACAAAATAAGAGGAAGTTGTAAGGAAGTAATCAAAAACCACAAATAAACAACAACGTTTAAACGAGGAAAACTTCAATCGCGAATTTAAAACAATTTGTGTGATCGTGTTTGTGTAAATTAATTGGCATTTTTTCTCTTCTGAAGCAGGAAGAGAAAGAAATAAAAGGAAGAAATGATGGCCCACGAAAACCTGAAAAAGAAAAATAAAAAAGAAAGTTAGCAATGTTGTTTAAAAAATTATTTTGTTGGATGTAATACGTTTCACTTACCGTGACATGCTGAAAGAAAACAAAAGATAGATTAGTAAAAGATCAAAAAATTAATATATATTGTAAAAACTCATTTATAGACAGTACTTACTTCTTTACCTGTATTTCAAGGAATTATTGAATTTATATCGTAGTATTCATTTTAAAGTAAATGTACAATGTAACGTAAAGTTAATTAAATCTCAGGTTTTTAAACTTAACATGATGTAAGTTGTAAATTAATCTCGTCAATAAAAAGTGTTTGTCTTTATTAAGACATTGTAAATGTGACATTGGTGGCAGCAATTGGGGTACGAATGCCTATGACCAAATATTTATAATTGCAAATTTAAAAACTTAAGAATAAATGAGCAAATAATTAACAGTTAATTACCTATATAATATTTAGTTCATTTAAAAAAATTAACTGTACCGCATATTTTGTAGCAAAAAATTTAATAAATAATTAATTAACAGGACTAAATCTAGCAAATTAAAGGGTGAAACTGCGAAGTTTGATTATGTAAAGAAATAAATAAAAAATTTGCTAGATTTAGTCCTATTAATTTATATTAGGGGAAGAAGTACTCATTTATTTATTTACAAAATTATAAAAAATTAATACCTAATATGACTTTAATATTTCTACTGCCTTTTTAAAAATTTATTATTCAGAGTGGTATTATGTATTAATAAATAAAAAAGAAGAAGTAATACCACATAAAATTGAATGAGTTAATCCAATTACTAAGTTACTTTTGCAATTTTCTGTTTAGAATATTCGTTAGCGTAATTTAATAAGATAAATCATTTATGTAATTTGGCCCCATATTTGATCCGATTTGCTAGCCACCACTTATGCCAGGCGATTAACGCGAACAATGAGTATAACACAACTATACGCTGAAAAGTTATACCAATTTGTTTAACTCAGTACACTTAGTTGTACACTAGCTGGAAAAAAATCAAATAGACCCAATGAGTGGCAAGCATAAATACATATAAACAAATTACAACATGTACATGGTGTATATGTGGAACAACAAAACCCAAAGGACAGTGTGGACAAAACAGCCTGTGTTGTAATCGTAATTTCTCTGTCTTAAAACCTATCACATCAAAAACAACAACTAATAAAGTGTAAAGGACCTAAAACAGCATTTATTATCATAGAGCCCAAATTGCAATTAAAAGTAGACGTCACAGGCACAGCACCTGATTCGTCTGTCCCTAATACGATAACAATTGATAATGGAACGCCAGTGGATCCCATTAATACACTAAATTACAGTTTGTAATTTACCTTAATGGGTGGAACCACCAAATTAGCCCCAAATTAATAAAAATTAAAATAGAAATATAAAAACCTGCCACTCAGATCTATTTGAAACAATATTCATTAGCGACTTACTTTGAGGCGTCGGCTAGACCACCATGGGGTTCACCGAAACCTTAAACCGTCCAGCGTCGGATGTCCAGGGCTGAGGGCGCAGGGACCTCGACCTCTCTAGACTGAGTGGCGGGGGGTAGGCGGGTGGTGGGAGACCATCAACCAAACCGTTCTATAACCAACAATCACATACACTTTATTTTATTACCGACCGCGAACGCCACTAACTTTTCGCGAAAATAAAGCTATTAAAAGGCCCAAGCACAAACGATCGAATAATAAATATTTAATATACATGGATGAATCTGAAACAAAAAACAACAGTACATTAGTACTTTTGAAAATATGCAACAAATAAAGTCAAATTTAAGTACTTGCATCCAATCCAAGTAAAAAAATGATTTCATGATGTGACCATTATATATCTTGTAATCCATGTCCACTGAGGCCGTTGGTCTAAGATAAGGGTGACTTTCAGATATGTCTAAAAATTTATGACTACAAAAGCAATTCATTTATCAAATTTAAACCATCATACCTTTTGGTTTAATCCACTCAGTCTTTGCCGGTCAAATAGTTCTGTTCTCATCATAAAAACTTGCTGTTCCCTTCAAAATTCAGTTCCTTCTGTTAGAACGGTCTAGGAAATGTGAATGATCAGAAGAATAAAGGGTCCTAAACATAACATTAATTTGTCAATATCTAACAACAATTTTCTGCAAAATATTACCAAAATGTGTTAATTCGCGTCAAAATCTGGTAAAAATTGGTTAGTTTTGACTAACTAAGTCAAAACGAATGAACTCTAACTCGAACAATTTAAAAAATACCGTGTGGTTAACTATGAGAAGGTAGCTACTAACAGAAATACAAGGAAAAAAGTAATTTCCGAAAAAATCTACCTACACACTGTAATCAGAAACACTTATTGATAATGTTTCCACAACTGCATTAGTTTCAACAAAAGTACTTACACAATAATTATTAATTTTCTACTGAAAAAGTTTAAGAACGCGACCATTGTTATTTGTAAAGGACTAAAACATGGCGTACACTAACGCCAACTATAGGCGGCGTCTATAAGTTCTTTCACAACCTAAATAATTTCTTTTCCGAAATAAAATAAGTTACAGAATGATATCTTGTTTTACATGAAAATTTATGAAAACGACGTTTATTATAGACAATTAGTATATATCAGATAATGTTAGCGTTCTTTTTTAAAAAAATCGTTTAAGAGTACAAGGTTGCCTTGAGCGAGTAAGTACTATCGAAAATACTAAGAAAAAAATTAATTGCTAGAAAAATCTATATGTACACCATAATCAGTAAAGTTTATTGATACGATATCGACAATTGCATGACTCCTAGCAATAATTTTTACCTAATTTTTCTTACCTACAACTGCATGGGTTTGTGCCAGGACCAGAGTTAATCGTAAAATGGCTGACGCATGACGTCAACTACAAACTTTGTTATTTCTAAGCCCTCTTAGTTATATGTATCGTCGCTTATTAAGTAAACAAATTAATGTTTTGAATTCCTATCATTTAATATTTTCTAGTCAGTAATGACACTATATTATTTTAACATTATATAAGTTCTTTTCCAAGTACTGTATAAACGCAAAAATGTCTTGGGAATAAATGTAATACAATTGCTTATCAAAAAGGAATAATACATTTTTCCTCTTATACATAAGTTTTCTATTGCATTACTAGCAAACATGTTTAGACCTGTGCCCTTTTACCATAAAATATTTCTAAAAGATTGAAACGAGCATATTACTAGACGAGGAAATACTCGACCAGCCAATTAAAGACGACCACGGAAAATTGAATTGAATGAAATTGAATCCGGCTTTGTTAATGCAGTTGGACCTTAAAATATCTACATATGTAATTAGTATAGTTTTGTCGTGTATTTTATTTCAGTATTACAATAAATAATAGGCTATTCGTATTTTGTCATTCGTTTGTTATTGTGATTTTGTTTTAGAGTATTTAATTATAGGAAGTAATCATTTGTAACGTATATAAATTGAGTTCAACGAGCTTTGCTTTTTTATTTGCACATTAATTAAAAATTACTGAAAAATTTTCGTTTGTAAAAAATGCAATGAACAATGGCTGAACTATTTAAAAAATTCAAGAGCCCCGTAATAATAACTGACGTGCTATATTATATCTCGATGATATCTCGTATCTATGATGATAACGATAACCTAGAAAAAAGTGGTCTTAATGTTATAAATAATACACTACTTTTTTGTTATTAGTTAATCAGATATAATATTAAAAAAAAGACAATAAAAACAGACTGTGTTAATTTATTAGTTACCTTACAATATTGTGAAAGTGTTGGGTTAATAAATATAATTAACTTTTTTTTTGAGTACATTAAGTTGTCAATATCGTAACCTTATTTGATCGTTAAAATTTGTTTTTGTGTCACGTTCCATCACAAATCACAGTGTTTTATGAGAATTATTTATGCTAATTAATGTTAGAAAATTTGTAAATAGCATTTACAGAATGGCTCCTAAAGTAGTCTTCGTTTTGGGAGGTCCTGGTGCAGGAAAGGGTACACAGTGCCAAAATATTGTTAAGGTACAAATTTCTGCAATTAATTTAGTTTTGTATTTATCAAAATATAATTTAGGAATATGGTTTTGTTCACTTGTCAGCTGGTGATTTATTAAGAGAAGAACGTTCAAAGCCTGAATCAGAATATGGGGAATTAATAGAGGCTTACATCAAAGAAGGAAAAATTGTACCTGTTGACATTACATGTAGTTTATTAGAACGAGCAATGACTAATTCTGAAAAGGATATGTTTCTTATTGATGGTTTTCCAAGGAATAAGGATAATTTAGATGGTTGGAACAGAAGATGTGCAAACAAAGTGCAGCTGCTGTTTGTCTTACATTTTGATTGCCCCCTTGAAATATGTGTAGAGAGATGCCTGAATAGGGGAGCAGCTGGAAGTGCTAGAATTGATGATAATATAGAATCATTAAAGAAAAGAGTAAATACATTCATAAATGAAACTAAACCTGTTATCGATTACTATAAAACACAAAACTTGGTTAAAGAAATTGATGGATCACGTCCTAAAGAAGAAGTGTTTAAGGACATAAGAAAAGCCTTTGATGATATTAAAGCAATGGGAGATATATAAAGTAATCATAATAAAAATTAATGATGTGTAGTACATACAAATTTTTATCACTAGATATGCATTTTTATTTAATTAATTTAGCACATATCATCTGTTTGAACATTCCAGTATAAATTCATGTCATAATTCTTCTAGAAGCTTAGCAAATGATGAATACTTAATTATAATAGTGACTAAACTCTGTGCAAATTTAAAAAGTCGTGAGTTTTATTTGTACAGAAAATATGTTGTATTTTTTTGTTAAATATATTCATATATTAAGGAGTTATTATAAATCAAAGATGAATAGTGTTGTATAAATAAAGTTATGACAATATTTTACTCTACTTCTTTATTATAAATCATATTAAAATTGACTATGAATATACAGTTGGCTAAAAATTTCAGACAAGATGATACGATAAAGTAACATAAAAATCCCAACATGTAAATCAAAAGTGATCCTTATAAATGTTATTTAAACAAATACTTCGGTTAAATTTTCAAAAAAGTAATT